GCAACCTGTGTAGTTTTCAAGTAGGGGCTCTGTGATTTGCTCTTCTGAATTTATTTGTGAGTGTGTGTGAGTGTGTGTGTGTGTGTGTGTGTGTGTGTTACTAGGAACTGAACCCAGGGCCTGAGCTATTTTCTTATTTTGAGATCAGATGTCATTAAGATGCTGAGTTGCCCAGACTGGGCTCAATCTGGGCCATCCTCCTGCCTCAGCCTCCCCGAGTGCTGGGATCACAGGCCTGCGCCACCATGCCTGGCACTCCGGGGACTGCCTACTGTCATGTAACACTGTGCTGTAAAGGCAAGCATGCTGGCTCCCACAGGTCACACACGAGGGCTCCCCAGGACAGAGACCCCTCTGCTGAAGCACAGACAGCTGTCTTCCTTCCCCTTCCAGCAATGCCAAGTTGCCTTGCGGCAGCAGGGCCATGCCTGTCTGATTTACAGCTCAGCTGGAAACTGTTCATCCTGTCTCTGGTCCTGTGATTTATAAAAATGACGTGTGACCCAGCAGGAGCTTCTCCTTGTCCACCAAGTAACAAAGTACAGGGAAAGCCTAGCACTTGTGTCTGGTTCTGGGGCATCAGACGCTGGCACTGCTGGGTTAGACCCTAACTTTCTGCATTCCTTCCTCTCTCAAGGAGGGATGCCTCAATCCCTTGCTTTCCTGATTTCCAATCTGTGGCATTTCCTTCAGCCTGGTTATTAAATTTAACACAGAAGTGAAGCTCTGAAAGGCTAAAGATCTCCTAATCACCGGGACTGGAAGGCCCACGTGACAGCCAAGGTCAGCATGTACAGTGGAAAGGACCTTCGTCCACACAGGGTAACAATCCTTAAATCGTCCAGGAGCTGATTATTCACTGTGAATTCTTCCAGCTGCCTCTGTACCCTGGAAAGTCAGGGAGAGAAAGGCAAAATCCAAGATTACTTCCTTAGACTTCCTAGGGCAGCTCTACTAAGCTGTTTGGTTGGGTAGGAAATGAAGTCATTCATTTAAAAAAAAAAAAAAAAGTTGATAGAACCGTTAGGCTGCAGCTGCCACGGAAGAGAACACTGGGTTTGGAGTCAGGAAATGTGGGTCCCAGGCCCAGCTCTGCCTTGGGACCTGTGTGAACTTGGGTTACTCATTTTGCTTCTCTGCCTCAGTTTACCCCTCCTTAAAGCTAGCCTCTCCCAGCTTTCATATCGGTCCTTCTGCGACCTCAGTACTGCCGCACTTGGCAATGCCCAGGTGCTCAGGCAAAAGGCTAAGTTCAAATCCTCATTCTAGTGTGGTTGGGAACAAATGTTGTTGAAGAATAGTATTACCAGTCTATCCATCCCATTCAAAGATGTCTTCAGAAGACATTTCTGAATATTAAATCACATCTTAGGTACAGTTATTGAAGGAAATTCTGCTGTGACTCCCCCAGGCCAAGGGCCTTCTGGTCAAACAGAGCTATGCAGAGTCTACTGTTATGTGTACTTCACTTAAACGTTTGTTCTGGAGAATACAACTGAAACTGGTGGGGACCCTGGCTTTCTATGAGGGTGCAGGTGGCCCCAGCTCCACACATCGCTGGTTGCCAAGGCCCCTCTGCTCTTCAGAGCTGGGTTGTGCTCAGAGCTCACACCCTGCTAGCCCTGGTGGGGCCCGGAACGAACCACCAGGAAAGCTGCAACGGTGGCCTTGCTCTGCAGATGACAAAACTGAAGCTTCGTGAGGTCAGGTGAGGCACAGGGGTCCGGCTGCCCTGCCCTGGGCTGGGTCCCACATGGGAAGCTAGGGCCATAGGAGGGCGCTGCAGCTTTTTCATTGGACACAAACTGGCTCGTAAATTTAGCACCTACAGAAATATTTAGGTACCATGACCCCTCTTTCTTCTTTCTCAGCCCCAATCAGCCTCTCCCTGCATTCCATTCTGTAGCAATGGTGGGCCACACGTAGCCATGTGCCCCTGAACCTGTCACGGCTCCTCCGGGCCTCCACAGCTCCTGCCCACCAAGGAGGAAAACAGCCTGTCCACCTACCTCGCCTCCTTGCAGGAATGCAAGGACCCTAATAGCTGGCCCTTATATAGTGCTTACTACTGTAAGCACTGTACAGGTATTAACTTGTTCAATCTTCCAAACCCCTCCAGGAGAGTGCTGTTATTATTTGACAGAGGGAAACTGAGGCACCTGGAGCACTTTCATGACTTGCAGCGCCACCCAGCAGAAGAGGGATTTGACCCCACACCACTGTGCTGTCCACCTGCCTCTGGAGCTGCAGCAAGTAGCTGCTGGCTTGTCCTCCATGGGACTCTGCTCCCGGGAGGCTGCACAGAGGGGCTGGGCGAAGGGGAGGCCCCAGGCTGAGGTGCCAGCCTGCCTGGAGGAGGCAGGAATGCCATGCCCGCCCCACCCACCGCAGGGCCATCTCGCTGAGTTCTTTCTCTACTGCCAAGAGCAGGTTTGTCTGTCTCCCAGAGACAGTGGTTGTCAGGCCCTGAGAGAACAGAGAGCATGTCAAAAATAGCAGCGCCAGCAGCAGACTATGTGGCTGAAATTGCCTTTAGAAATGTTGGTTCTGCTCTCACCACAGAGCCAGGGTCTGTCTGTCTGTCTGTCTGTCTCTGCTCCCTGCAGCCTACAGCAGAGGCTGCTGAAGGGTGCAGAATGTTTCTGGAGCAGGCAAGGCGTCCCTGACAGGGCCTGTGACTCTCTAGGGGATCCTCCCTATAGAACAACAACAAGGTCAGAGTGGTATTAAGAAGAAAGCATCAGAAACCCCAGCGGGACTGGGCCCCAAACAGCTCCAGCAGAGCCAAGGTTAGGCCAGTGCTGGTTTACTGCACACAGCCCCACCTTCTCTTCTGGGAATGGGAGGGTCCCCATCCTGTGGGGTAACTGCTCACAAATGGCCACTGTGCCATTTGTGAGGGGGTCTCTATGCCCCCTCTAGGGTACCAAGGAAGCAGAGGGTGAGGACCAAGAAGGGACAGAGAGCCAGGGTGAGCCACTTCCTCAAGTTAGAGCAAGGGAGGTGCCAAGCATGTGCTCCCCACCCTGCCACGACCCTGTCCTTATCCCCAGTGACTGTGTCCTCCCTCCAAGCCCACACTCCAGACCTTATTCTTCAAGAGGTATCTGTGCAGCCTGGTCTAAAGAAGATGCAGAGAGGAATTCTACAGCTGAACTAGTAGCTTTCTTTTCCTCCCCTAAGTGACCATGACATCCTACAAGGAGACCACACTTCCCTTCCCATGGCAATAACGCAGTCAAAACCAAGCACAGCCAAGACAAGACGGTGCTTCCAGTCAGACTGTCTTGGGGGCCAGTATGCTCTGGGAACCTATCTTGGCATTTCCATAGAGATGCGGGCAACAGAAATACAAGCAAAGCAAGGGCTCGGCCAGGGAGGAGGGACAAGGGGAGCCGGGATGGAGAGGTGAGGCTGGACAGCCCCCAGGGCATGGGTGGAGCAGAAGCCACATCTGAGGCACAGGAGCAAAGGGCAAGGTAAGCCCACGCCAGCGCCTCCTTCCACCTCTCCAAGCACTCAGGGCTTCGGGGCTCTCATCACAGAGAGGAGAGCAGTGCAGGCAGAGGGCTCGGCTTCTGTGCCTGAGGAATTCAGAGCTTACCAGTGGGCAGACGTTGGCCGGGTTTGGCTTGTGTGTGAGGGTATTTATCTATGTGGCCCACAAAGTGTGAATTCCTCCAGCAAGCTCATACTGCACTCACGTGTGCACAGTGAGTGGCCACTCCCTGCTCACTAGTGCTGATCATGCTCCTCATTTACCAGAAAAATGCCTGCACATCTTTAGTGCAGGTAAACCCCACCGCAGTTTGACTGTCAAAATTCACACACACACACACACACACACACACACACACACACACACACACAGTCTGTTCTTGGTATTACACAAAAGAGCAAGAACCAATGGCAGACAGCTCTGAAGTATCCTCCTGGGCAGAAGAAATAAACTGCTGTCCCCGCCGGACATGGTCTAGGCTGCCTTCAGAGGTGCTGACCTTGACCTGCAAAACCCCTCAGCCCAGTGTGGAACTGCCAGGTCATTAGACCAGTGCTACACCCCGAGCAGTGCTTTTTCTGGTTAATTTTTAGAATTCTGTGACTATCAACATAATCCTCTCTTAGGACACTTCTGCCCCTCCCCAACCCCGCTCCACAAAAATCTCTCTGGTGCTAACTCAACAGCCCTGTTGTAGGCCCCAGGGGACGGCAAGGGCCATGGAGGTCCTGATGCAGGGGAGCCGTGACCCCGGGCTCTGCAGCCTCCCACAGGGGTGTAACACGCATGCGCTGAACCTCCTCCCGCCTCTCAGGGAGTGTCCCCAGAATGGCGACCCTTCCAGTGTTCTCCCTCCTGAGCACCAGGGAGCCAGAGCCGGCTGGGGCTACACAGAGCTGCATATGCCCAAGTCAGCAAACCAACCCAGAGCTGAGGCTGCTTCCAGGCTAACTGCCCTCCTATCTTCCTCAAAGTCCTCTTTACTCCATCTATTCCACTACTGCCCCTCTGTCTCCAAGCTCTCCGAGAAGCTCTCAGTTCAGGGGACCCTGAGGTAAACTCACTCCAGGGCTATGCAGCAGAATATGTGTCTGTGCTTATCAGGAAAGGATGGTACTGGACATGTCAGGAAGGGAATCCTGAGGCTGGAGGCCGACCTGCTCAGCTGGGTCACAGCTGTCCTAAGGCTCAAGGTGTGACTGAGAGCAATGCCACAGGTGTTGCCACCCCTCCGCAAAAAGGCAGTGAGGTAGGGGGTTAAAGCCGCGAGGAGAGGGAAACCAGACATGAGGAAGCCGGCCAAGGAAAATAAAGAGGTGCAAAGAAAGAAGGAAAAGAAGCAAGAAAGGGAAGATGCAGAGGAAGAGAAAGGTGACGGGGGCAGACACAGACACAGAGCGAGGTGGCCACTCAGAGGCCAGGGTCAGCCCACTTCCTTGGAGCGCACCTCCCCTCTGCTCCCAGCACCCCGAGTTCTAATGTCTCCCGAAGGAGGACCTACCTCGGTGCAGAAGCGGCCAGAGGTCCCTCCCTGCTCCTAGGGGATGCCGGCTGAGGGTGGCAGTCCCAGGAAGTCCTGTGGAAGGCCCCACCGGCTCCAGTCAGGTTGAGGACAGCGTGGCCTGCACTTCCCTGGCAGCTGCCAATGGCCGTGCCCTCATCACAGCAACAAGCAGGGCACCGTATCCAGATGTTCAGGGCGCATCCACGGGGCGATGCCCAGGGCCACTGGGGGTCCTGGGACTAAGTCCTTCATAGAAACCAGGTGGAGCCACCACCTCCGTTTTCCTTCCGAGGTGTAAGAAGAGCCACCTATGAGATTTTTCTGGAGCCAGACTGTTCCCTGGGAGGAAGGAGTTTCATTTTCCCCTGGGTCTCTGAGACCTGGGAAGAACCTGAGACCAGAGGAGAATTCCAAGGTGCCTATGACTAGTATCATTCTTGGCGATGCCCGGTGTGGCTGCTGCATGAGGAATAGTAAGTTGTCCCCTTGTCATTTTAAAATCACAATGTTGACACTAGTTCTACTGGGAGTTGTGTAGCACTCAAGTTTCTGAACACCCAGGGGTGAGATGAAGCAGCTCAAGGTCTGGGGAGGAAACGAGGAAGAAAGGTGTGGACAGAAGTGTTGGCAGCCAGCTGTCTCCAGTTCCCAGGGTCCTGCGCCAGCCCTTACCAACAGGCGGGAGGCGCCCTCATTTGAGAAGCCGGGAATATGTCTTGTGCTCTCCCTTGAAACTCAATCAGAAGATGGAGAGAACAGGCTGGAAGGTTGCTACGGCAACCGGAATCCCTGGAGGGCCGGGCTTTCCCCAGCCTTTTCCTCTCAGGCCTGCTCTGACTTGGAAAGGCAGTGTTTGTTCAGGGATGGAGATGAAGGTGATCACACACATGTAGATACATGCACCCGTGTCCCACATCTCCACTGCTGGGAGCACCTTTCTGGCCTCTGCAGCAGGCCCTTCTCCTTCTCCAGAGAGCCAGGAGTAACTGAAGCAATGTGGAAAAGAGCATCTCCTGGCCTCTGCTCCATAAGCGCCTCCGGGTCCCACTCACTTCAGGTTTGGAGAAGCCAGCTCCAGCAAGGTGACCTGCACCCCCAGCAGGACCCCACCGTGCCTATCTAAGAGCAGCCTCCCTCTGAGGGGCGAGAAAAAAGATGGCGGCCAGCCCTGGAGAACAAGGGGGCATTTAGGAAGATAAGAGCCTGTTCCTGGGCTCTGGACCCAAGGCAGAAACTTTAGAGAAAACCTTGCCTCTGGAGGAGGGGGAGACAGGGTGACAAACTAAGAACCAAGTTCATTACTATAACTCACATATTTGCATAGCAGCTTCCCAGATGAGTTCATTGACACTCCCCATGAGGTAGGGAGGGGAAGACATTGATGTTCCCATTTAACAGACAGGGAAACTGAGGCACAAAGAGGGACTGACTCACCAAAGTTACCCTGTAAAGCTGTGGCAAAATCCAGGTTTGGATCTGACACTCACAGAAGCCCCTCAAGAGGCCCTTCAAAAGGCTGTCCCTTGTAAACTGCTCCCCGAGAAAATAATGTTCTAAATAAAATTCCCATCAGAGAGTCTTAAAGCATAGATAGAAGATTCTAAATGTGTTAACAGTCTTTTCAGTTTCGGAGCTGCACCCAGGAGAGGTCAGAATGGTACAGCACAGTTTTTAAAGGCAAAACAATGAGCAGTGATGTTACTTGGAGAGAAGAGGGGCAGGGGCGGGTGGGCTGGGACGAGGAGGTTCAGGATGGAAGGAGGTGCCCCACCCCATTCCTTACCAGGCAGCACAGGCCAGAACCGGAACATCTGCCCACCAGAGCGGCAGGAGCCTCTCAGGGGGCTGTCGGCAGGGCAGCACTGCTCAGGTCTAACCCTGATCCGAAGACGGCCTGCCATGGAGTGGGGAGAAGCCCAGTCTGGCAGACAGCATGTACTTCTGACTGCAGATTTCAGGTGAGGCTGCTTCAGAAAGACTTCAGGTGCAAGCTCAAGTCAGACTCCTCGGAAAAAAGGCTGGGGGCTCCGAGGCTTAGGGAGACACAGAAGAAACCTGTTTGCCTGCAGGCAGATCTGCTGCCCTCCATGAGGACCAACCCATCTCAGTGACACCTGGCTGCAGGCTGTGGTCCACCCAGTTGCCTGACTCTGTGCAGCTGCTCCTCCGGGCTGTGTGGCTCCGTTTCCAATCGCTATGCTCAGGAAGGCACTTGCACAAGAGTATTTGGCTCTGAGAAGGAGCCTTCCTGGAAGCTCAGACGACAGTGAGGGATAGCTGCAGGGAAGACTAAGCCATGGCCAAAGACGGTGGCTGCCAATGCTGGCTCACACCTTCGAAAGCCCAGGGGTTGCCGGCCCAGGCTGACCCTCATGTCCTCCGAGGGGTCCTGCTGAATTCTGCTTTTCTGTAGTTCCATCCAAGACTCATACACTTTGAGACTGTGTGACTAAATGCTCCAGCAAGTGTCCTCTGCAGGATGATCAGCAGGTGTCACAGGGCACTGGGATAAAACAGTACGTTGAGTAGTTTCCATCCTCCAGCTTCTGCCAGGTACCGGTGACCAGAAGGTAAGACAGGTGCTTGCCTCGGAGCAAAGAACTTGGAAGAGAGGCAGGACCTGAGTGTGGCTGGCTTCTGTCCTACTGACATGGCTCTTCCTGGAGATGCGACAGGTCCCAGAAATGAGGAATGAGAGTCTGAGGGGAGGACTCTCATCCAGGTGACCGAAGATGGGCATGACTGAATGGCACCATTGGAATTCAAAATGTCACTCGGGTGGATAAACCTGGAATGCTGCAGGGATCAAGCAACAAGGTCGACAGTCCAGGTATTTGGCCCTGGACGCCTTGTACAGGGCACTGGGTCGGGAGTCCGGGAGAGCTGAGGAGATGAAAAGGAAGCCTCAGAGACGCCTGCTCAACACGAACCCCTGCAGGCCCCGCCCACGCGGGTCACACCTCGGTAAGCATCCTTTTCTCTGCACATCCCCGATGTGGCATGGGCAGGTGGCTGGGTCTCCGCTCCCGAGCGGCCTCAGGGAAGTCCGGCTTGCCAAGCCCAATGTCGGTGGCCTTCAGGTCGGGCGCAGGCTGCCCACAGGTGACATGCGTGTACTGTCCCTGCTCCTCCTGCTCGGTCTCGCGGTGGTAGAAGTAGTTGAAGTTGGAGACGATGACAGGGACGGGCAGGGCGATGGTGAGGACCCCGGCGATGGCGCACAGCGAGCCCACGATCTTGCCCCCCACGGTCATGGGGTACATGTCCCCATAGCCCACAGTGGTCATGGTGACCACGGCCCACCAGAAGGCATCCGGGATGCTGGGGAAGAGCGAATCGCTGTCATCAGCCTCCGCGAAGTAGACGGCGCTGGAGAAGAGGATGACCCCGATGAAGAGGAAGAAGATGAGTAGCCCCAGCTCCCGCATGGAGGCCTGCAAGGTCTTGCCCAGGATCTGCAGCCCCTTGGAGTGGCGCGAGAGCTTGAAGATGCGGAACACCCGGACCAGGCGGATGACCCTGAGGATGGCCAGGGACATGGCCTGCTGCCCGTTCTGGCCACCCCCTCCGCTCACTGACTGCTGCTCCTGCTGCTGCACCAGCTCGGTGCCCAGGGTGATGAAGTAGGGGAAGATGGCCACCAGGTCGATGATGTTCATGATGTTGCGGAAGAAGGCTGGCTTGCTGGGGCAGGCGGAAAAGCGCACCAAGAGCTCAAACGTGAACCAGACAATGCAGAGGGTCTCCACCAGGAAGAAGGGGTCGGTGAAGAAGGAGCCCGCAAGAGCACTGAGAGAGGGGGAGCCCCCTGTGCCCACGCCCCCGGGGCCGACGTCGCGGTGAAAGGTGTAGGGGTCGTCCTCGTCCTCCTCCTCCTGGCTGCCTCCGGAGGCCGGGGTCACGCGGCTCACACCGTCTCCGCCTCCCCCGCGCCCCTCCGCCCGGAATTGGGGCAGCGTCTCCAGGCAGAAGATGACGATGGAGATGAGGATGACCAGCACGGACACGATGGCAATGCCCCGCGCGGGTCCCGAGCTCTCCGGGTACTCGAAGAGCAGCCACACCTGGCGCTGGAAGGGCTGGGAGGGCAGCGGCTTCTCGTCCTCGCCGCCTTCGGGCAGGCAGCCCTCGTCCTCCCGGAAGGCCGCCAGCGCCTCGTCGCCCAGCTGGTAGAAGCGGATCTCCTCCTGGAAGATGTCCAGGGGCACGTTGACCGGCCGGCGCAGGCGGCCCCCCGACTGGTAGTAGTAGAGGATGGCGTCGAAGCTGGGCCGGTGCCGGTCGAAGAAGTACTCGTTGCGGAGCGGGTCGAAGAAGCGGACGCGGCGGCCAGGGTCCCCCAGCAGCGTGTCGGGGAACAGCGCCAGGGTGCGCAGCTGCGTCTCGAAGCGCAGCCCAGAGACGTTGATCACCAGCCGCTCGCTGCTGCAGCAGCCCCCCGCGTCGCCGGCCTCCGGGAAGTCGGCGGCGTCCTGCGGCTCCCCGTGCGGGCCCCGGGCCTCTTCGGGCGGCGCCAGCGCCAGCGCCTGCTCCGACCGCATGTCCGCCCAGCGCTCGCCCGGGGACAAGGGCCCTGAGGTGGGTGGGGGGCGACCGGGCGGGGGCCGTGCCGGGCCGGCGCCGATCCTCTGGCAGCGGGGCCAGCGGCTGAAGACGCGTGGCCACGCCCTCGGAGCCCCGGGCCCGGCCCCCGCGCTCCCGCCCGCCCGGTCGCTCCTCCTGCAGCTTGGACTGCGGCCCCGGCGCTCGCGGACCCCGGCCGGCTCCTCCGGGCAGCGGCTCCTGGTTCCGGCTGGGCGAGGGACACACTCGGCCGCGTCCTCCCGCGCGCCCGCCCCACGTGACGTTCAGGCCCCGCCCGCCGCACGCCCCTCGGACCCGGGCCGCGCGCCCGCCCCCCGCAGCCTTTCCCGCGCTCGCCGGCGCCCTCCTGGCGCACACTCCGACCGCACCCGGCCCGCGCACGCCTCAGCCAGCGCCGCCCCCGTGCCGCCCCCGTGCCGCCCCCGTGCCGCCCCCCGCCTGCACCCGGTTCCGCACCTCGGTTCCGCACCTCCACCCGGCTCAGCCCTGGGCTACGCAGTGCGTTCTCCCGCCCGCAGCCCACCGCTGCCCCCCCCCCCGGAGCATCTGGCGGAAAACAACCCTGCGAAATCCCTGTGTTTACAGAATCCCAGCTGCCAGTCCCTCCGAGGGGCGCTGAGAAGGGCGGGGGTGGCAACCCTGGAGTCGTCCGGGGCGTCCCGATGGATCGGATGCTACCCCACAGCAACCCGCCGGGGTCTCCTTTACCCCGCGAGGAGGCCCTGTGGCCCTAGAGGGGCGAAGGTACGCCTGCGGGGCGGGGCGGGAAGCCTGTCAGGGCCTTTCCCATCCGGAGCTTTCCTTAGGCAGCGGAGACAGGTGAAGTCCAGCGAACACGTCGTGATGTCGACGACGGCAGCTACATTTCCTGAGCAGCTAGAACGGTACGTGCCACCCACACCTAGGAGCTTTACAGAAAAGTGCCCTACCCCGGGCCACACTGCTCCGACCCCGCTTGGCAATACTTGGGTGGGGCAGTTTGCTGTTAGGGACACTCGTGAGCTGCCTAGCTCTCGGGAAGGATCTGCGCAGGGCTTTCCGTCCGCCTCTGCCGGACACAGCCCTCTGCCTTGGGCCCACAGGTGAAGGTCCGATGGAGGAGAACCATCGCATCTTCCCAGACTGCCCCTCCCCGAGGGGCTGGCCTTTGCTCTCAGACCCCAGTTTACCCCTCTTTAGCGGGCTGTGGTCAACAGGAACTGGCCGACAGCTGCGGGTGCTTTTGTGCAGTAGTAAAAGTTCTCAGAGTACAGTGATGGGCGTGGGACTCAAAGGTACTCCCCAAACCACAAGACACACTTAAGCATTCTCAGCGGGGCACAGCCTTTTAAAGCCACGAAGTCCTCTGTCCTGGAAGCACTGCTCCCGGGTGGGAGGGCGAAGGCTCCTGGACGAGGGAGAGTTCGGTGCTGAGTGCATCAGAGATGCTCGCTCCAGAACTCACTGCATCCTGGCCTCTGCTTCCTTTCTGTGTAGATTCCTACTCCCTCCCCTCACCTTGCACAGTTCTGTGAAGGGTGAGAAGGCCCAGTCGATGGTTTTCCCATTCACGGGCTGTGTCATTAAGCAATTTAGATTTCGAACAAAAGTTGCTCCATTCAAAAAAAAAATTTAAAGGAAAGCAACAAGAACCGAAAAAAATACAATAGAGGAGATACTCTTGTACCCTAGTCCAATTATCTGTGCTTATTGTGTGGACTGTAAATAGACTTGCCTGGGATCCACTGGGCTTTTGTTTTCAAACTTTGGAATGAATCATTTGCTTGCGTGTTGGTGTTCGTCGTTGCCATGTTTATCCAAAAAGTTGTCAACTAGGTGAGTAACTACAAAGCCCAGTGGCATTCGAAGAAGGAGTCTGCACTTTTCCAGAAAGTTGCGCAGTCCAGCCTGAGTCTCCTGGTCATCAGAACTTGCCTATGGGCAGAGCTGATGCCCCACAGTCCCCTTCACATCACGTGTCAAGCTGCACCCCAAGAAAGGTTTCCTCCCGCATGGGAGGCTCCCCTGGGAGGGAAACGCCAGCAGCAAAGTCGTGAATCGGGGTTCTGTTTTTAGTTCTCAAGTCTTTGCTTAAAGAAACCCAAAGCCCAGATCATTCCTCCAAAGCCCAGATCATTCCTCCGAAGCACGGGCTAGGGATGAATGCAGTCACACCGGCAGCAGGGCCACTTCCCAGGGGAAGGAAAACAGAGCACGCTGTAACCCTGCTGCCTGTGCCCACCCATCTTTTCCCATTACTCACTGAATACCAGTCTTGTGCCAGCAGATTGTTTTCATGTTATGTTGACTCTGGGTCCAGATGTTTGCAGCAATCACAGGAGGTCACTCATTTATTAAACTAGTATTTAGACAGCAGCTATGGATGCCAATAATCAATAATAATCAAGACAAAATGCCTGCTCTTGTAGGTACAAGATTCTAGGCAGAAATTTTTTATCATGAACAATAAAGAAAATATCTCATATTGCCTATTACAGTAAATGTTTTGAAGAACAAATGGGCTGTTATGTCAGAAATGAACCCAGGGACTCAGCCTGGAAGAGGGCAGTTGATGGAGAAAGTCCCTCTGAAGTAGCATGTCAGCTGAGGATTCCAAGATGATGGCCAGCCACATGAAGGGGCAGAGGGAGCATTCTGAGCCAAAGGGCAGAAAGGTCGTGAGCGTTGAAGGAGCTTGAAGACCATGTTCCAGAGAAGCTCAAGAGAGGCTGAAGAAGCTCGGGGAGGGTCTTGGGGTGAAATGAAAGGGAGCTACACAGAGGTACAGGAAGAAACGCAGCCCGGGAAGCTGCAGAAACCTGGGGGAGAGGGATGGTGACAGGCTCAGCAAGGTAGGAGTGGATGCCGGGGCCCTGGGTGGAGCAGCGAGGTGGGCCAGCAGTGCCACTGGCTGAGAAAGGGAAGAGGGGGAGGGTAAGGCGGGTGGGATCCATCCAGAGCTGCTTTCCAGGCGCGTGTGTAGATCGGCAGACTAGACACGCAAACATAGACAGCACGAAGGTACTTGTTCATTCAGGTCTGGAATATGGATGAAAATGTATGATTTATGAATTTAAAAATTTTAAATATTTAGATCCATGCATTTCTAGAAAGCTAGAATATCGACACCTTGACATGTATGCCAAGCAAAATAAGCACATGGGATGCAGATATCAAGGATATCCATTGATATTCTTCACGGGGCTTCGGACCCCCAAACACACTTATCCCAGGTGTGTAAATGATCATGCTGTCACATTCCCGGGCTTTTTGTTTCTTGTTACATTTTGTAGTGCGTGTGTGCGTGTGTGTGCGCTCGTCGTCATCCTCAGTAGGATCCCTTTGTTGTCCTCTGGGAAGGAAGGAGGGTGGCCACAGTCCCGGCCTCCTTTCTCTGCGTTATCTCCTCTCACACGGGACCGCTCTGTGGACAAGCTGGGAATTGAACCTGGCACCTCACACATGCTAGGCAGATGCTTTACCAGTGAAGTCCACACTCCAGCCCACAGTTTACCTTTTGTTCCTCTCCCTCTACACACATGCGCGCGCACACACACACACGCACACACACACCCCTCCAAAATTTGGTCATCTAAGAGTTAACATTAATAATGAATCAGGGATCAGGGGATTTAGCTCAGTGGGGCCGCCGCCTGCCTCACAAGCGCAAGGTCCTGAGTTCAATCCCCGTTACCAAAAAAAAAAAACAAAAGAATCAGGGATCTTGAACTCTGGGTTTATTTCCTGCCAATACTGTAGCACCCACTGGTTCCACAAACTAATTATACGTTTCCTGCCCACACTTGACAGCATAACTCTTAGACCTAATGTCCCCTCCCGCTATTCTAGTGATTGGAAGCAGTGTGACCATTTCCTTCAACCAGGCTTTCCCCGTGACCAAGTAGACAGGGGAAAGATAAATGCAAAGACCTCTCCTGTCGCCAAGCACTATTTATAATTAACTGCCTCATCCAAGTTTCGAATGATGGTGACAGGATGTCATTTACAAAATGGTGATGGTGGTGGTGATGGGGATGATTATGATAATGCTTCAGAATTCACTGGAGAAAAATCTCGCAGCTTTCACTTGAGGGAAGATGTATATTGGGAAAGGAATGCATCAGACATCTGCGCCACGCAAAGCCACAGCCTCAGGAAAGGGCGTTCCTTGCCAAGAAATACATCTATAAGGAGCTCTCTTTCAGGGCCCATCCCAAGAGAGCTGGTTAGTATCACAAGTTTGCATTCTGCTTCTTCCTCCCTTACTGTGATATAATCAGGGCTGCTTTCTAAAGCTCTGCAGCCCTCTGCCTTTCAGGAATGTGGGGTTTGAGCCCTTTAGCTCCCCTGGGCTGGGCGGTATCAGGCAAGGAGTTTGGGCCAATGAGTGTGAACAGAAAGAATATATCTCACTTCTAAGCCAAACTATTGCATTACCACTGGGAAACTATTGCATTACCATTACCACTGTGTTTCTTACTCCAGCACAACTATCAGCATGGTCCAAGATGACGCTTCCCTGTCACAGCTGCCCAGAGTGAGGTGGCACAGGGCCAGGCCCAGCTAAGGCAATGGTAGCACGACTAAGAGCCAATCCTGGGTCGTTCTAAGTTCCTGGTGCTCAGGGATTGACTTGCTACCGCTGGATAATTGAGTCTCCACGGCTTGCTCCCAACATCCATGCCCAGAAGTGAGAAGCTGCTATAACTAAACATTCAGCACTGGTGACCCTGGCTCTGAGAGAGGGTGGACAGTGAGGACTCTACTGGATGCTGTGGGAGGCGCTCCTGGCCACAAATGGCAAAGTATTTGAAAGACTGCTCATTTAAAAGATAAATTCTTGCATATCTAGGAAGAGGACTGCAAGCAGATTGATAATATTATAATGGGTCCTATTGGCTGCAGCTGAAAATGTAGAAGATATTGGTGCACTCAGAAGAAAAAAATTGTTATTTTACAAAAGGAGATGGAATGGACAAGAGAGTCCTGAAATACAGAGAATTTATAAACTACTTCTCATCTCCTGAAATAAGAAATTAAGTCTTAGAAGACGCCTGTGTTAACGGCTGATGAGAATTCAAAGCTGGCTTCCCGGAACACATCCTCTGAGTGGAATAAGGTGGATTAGAGCAAAACTGAAAGTTTTGAATTCTAAAACAGCAATTTGCATTGGACAGAGTGACTCTGGATAACCTCGCAGAGACACGTATGGGCTCGTGTTGTCTACGCTGAGGTTCATCCCCAGAGGAACCCTGGGTGTCGTTATTGTCTATCAGCGTAAGAGCCACCAACAGGAAATTCAGTGACCAGTGCAAGGCGTGTCAATAGTGTGTTTTAGTCAGCTTTCCACTGTAATGAAAAAATGTCTAAGAAATTCACCTTAGGCACATGAGAAAAAAGTATTACAGCTCACACCTTCAGAGAATTGAGTTTGTGGCTGCCTGGCCCCATGACTCTGGACCCAGGAAGCAGAGTGCATCATGGGAGGAGGACATGGTAGGGCACAGCTGCTCAGCTCATGGTGTCAGGGAAACAGAGGAGGGCCACGATCCCAATAACTGCTTCAAGGACACACCTCAGTGACCTCACTTCTTCCTATGAGGGCCCTCCTTTTACAGGCCCCGCCCCTCCCAGCAGCACCAAGGGCTGGTGCGGACCACACCTTCAACATCTGGGCCTTTGGGGAACATTTAGGAGCCAAACCTGTGTCTCTGAGTACGGAGGGTGAGTGTCCATGACTGATGGGAAGACTGGGGCTTTCACTCCCTAGTGTGAAGACTGCTGCACACCACAGGAAGTTCTAGAACGTCACCTCGATACCAGGACTAGGTCACCCTTTTGAGAATAAGTATACTGTGCCTGTGAGGGCCAAACATTTCTCATCCAAAGGTCAGCCCGTGGTAGTTATTGCTGCTCTTTGCCAAACATTTCCAGCTCCCCCTCCTGGACACAAGGAAGAACTGTCCTCTTCCTGGTCTCCATGTGGCTGGGCAGGACTCACAAGGCCGTTTCAGCTGAAAAGCAGTGCCGTGTGTCTGTCTTCTCTGTAGCTCTTCATTGCCAGAGCTCCTCTTCCTTGCCATAGTGACCCATAGCACTGAAAGGGAGGAAGCTCAGACTGGAAGATACAGAGCAGAGCCCCAAGAAGACTAGGGGTGGATACATACTTTGAGCAGTTAAACAGTCCATTTCATAACCCACTGATACTCATGGGTTGTTTGTTGCTGCAGCAGAGACTAATCTCTCCTGACTAATATGCCTCCTTGCATTCATGCTTGTAAGATACATGAAAAGAAATGATTCATGTTCTGTTTTCTTGGTTTTTTCGAGGGCAGCAGAGTCATCCTTTATATGTTCTGTTTTCTATAGATGAAAACAATTGAACAAAGATTAGGAAACTCATTTCAAAGCTTAACAGTGGCCAAAATTTTTGTTCTTGGCATTGCTTCCTTTTCTATAGAGATCTTCTTGACGTGTGTGTGCTTAATTAAATTGAACTCATGTGACATGTTTGCTCTTCTTTGCTCATCTCTGTGCTGAAGTAGGACCAAGCAACCTGTTGTCTGCCTCTGATACCTATCTGACATATCCATCCAGTGGCTCATGGGCCTGGCTAAGTCTTTATGGTAAAATGTTGCAAGTTTCGTTTGTTTATCAGCCTTTCAATAAATATTTACCTAAAGACAGTAATAGCTAATTATAAGCATCTAATGAGTGCTGACTGTGTTCTAAGCACTTTGCTAAGAGCTGTTGTTATGGATTGTGTCCAGATGTCCCCCCAAAGCCCCACACAGTCATAAGTGGGGCTTTTTTTTCAGAGGTGGCTGGATCTACAGTGTGTGACACTGGGATTGACTCATGGTGCGATGCTAGGATCAAAGGCACTAGGATTAAGAGTGTGAGTGGTACCTGTTTTAAGTGGTCTGGATAAAATAAAGGGCAGAGAGACCTATAGTTGTCCCTTGGTGGTTTGCTACCTTCTGCCCATCATAAACCGATTCTCCTCTGTGCTGCTCCTCCATGCCACCTTGCCTTGGAGCCAGCCAATTATGGACTGAAACCTCTACAAACTGTGAGCTAAACAATCCTTTCCTCTTTTAACTTTGGGTGTCGGGGATTTTGTGTCAGCAATGAGAGAAAAGTAACTGAGACAGCTGTAAAATAGGATCCTTTCCTGTCCTTCTCTCATTTTATTTTTTGTTTTTGCTTTTTTTGCAGTGCTACAGATTGAACCTCGCCACATACACTACTAGGCAAGCAGTGAACCACCAAGCTACGTCCCCAGCCTCCTTTTAAACATAAGAGAAGCCCGGAGAAGTTACACCATTTCCCAGGGCACAGAGCAGGAATCTGAGCAGGCATCACATGCAGCCAGGGCAGTGCCTGTGTTGGGGCCACACTGGTCTCTCCCCCCAGACTGGGTTCTCTACAGAGCTGATCATACATCATAGTAATAGAAATTCACACACACACACACACACACACACACACACACACACCAGTTAAATGAGTCTGGGACTCTCACAATAGACATAAAATACTAAAGGCTCGGATGCATCCCTTAACATTACTTAGCTCGAGTGGCTTTAACCACAGAACCTATTTGACACTAGCCCTTTTGAACAGTGTCCTAAAGAGCATCATTTAGGAAGGTGAGATCATAGATATCCACACCAGGAGGAATGGTGATGTCATCTCACTCATCTGCATGGTGTTGCTGATGCCAGAATAGGAATTTTAAATGAATAAGTAATTTTCCTGTGGTCTTATGGAAGCAGTGCCTGGAATACAGATCTCCTAATTCCCTGTTCAGCAGGATTATGTTACTCCATGGGTTATAAATAGCAAATTGGTCCAGGACAAATTCTTCAGATCAATTCTCTGACCTTCTGCCAGGTCAGAGAAAAGCACACATTTCCCACAGATTCTAGTACTCGATAAATGTTAATTTATGAGTAACAATGAGGGATAGAAGAAGAATTAATTAGCCAAGAAGCTTGGATGAAGACATGGAGAAGCACTGGTTAGCCAGAAGGCAAAATAAGGAATGCTGCAAAATCCAAAAAGACCTCCTTTCCCTACAACCACACTGTCTTTCTCAATGAATTGATGGGGTGAAAAATTCTGTACAGCTGCATATGTGAACATGTGTGTGTGTATGTACGGGGGGGGGTGGTAGAGGAGAACTGAACAAGACACAGAGTGTCTAACTGCAGATATTGCCCCACTGAGCAGGCACAAGAGGGAGGGATACCAAAGTCTAGTTCAGTAGTGGAACCACAAAGAAATCCCATGACTTTTATGGCAAAGATGAAGAAACTGTTTTCCGGCCCTTTCACCCATCAGAATAAAGTATGGTCCTTTGCAGACCCTGAATAGATTGATCATGAAACTCTGACACAGTTAAAGCAGTTGTAGCTTCCAAGTTTCTCTCTGTGGTTGGCTTTGCTAGGTAGGGTAGTGTTATGGTTTAGACTGTCTGTCGTGTCGAGGACTTGGTCCCAGATGCAGCAGTATTCAGAGATGGAGCCTAGAAGGTGGCTGGACCTGAAGGTGCTGACCATATCAGTGGACTCAGGCACTGAGGCCTTTTAGCTGAGTGGGCTGATAGCAGGTCCCAGGTGAGGAGTGGGTCACTGAGGCATGCTTTGAGAGGCATATGTGTCCCCAGCCCCCTTCAGCATGCATGCTGTCTCCCTCTCTCCTTTCCTGGTACCATGAGGTGAGTAGCTTTGCCCCACCATGACCACCCGCCATGATCTTCTCCACACCTTGGGCCCACAGTAATGGAGCCAGTCAAATGTGGACCGAAACCTCTGAAACTGGGCCAAAATAAGTCTTTCCTCCTTTAAGTTTTTTTTCTCAGGTGTCTTCTAGTGTCACCATGACAAAAAGTCTGACTAACATGGGTAGAAAATCCTTTTAGTTAAACAAAAAAAAGAATAGGCTTTATGGTTAAGAATGAGAGGCTGCTTGGAATGTAGCTCAGTGTCGTCATGCCTGCCTGGCAAGCACAAGGTCCTGAGTTCAATCCTCGGTACCAGAAAAAAACATCTAGGATGTGGTTTGTGGTGGAGAGTTTAAGGCAACAGAAGTTACACTGCTCTGCATCAAAACAAAAGTAAAATGCTTTTCGGTTTTTTGAAGGAATTTAGGAAAGCCTATAAATTGTAAAAAAGAAAAAAATAGAGAAGATGCTTGTTGAATAGAACTGGTCACCAAAATAGAGTGAGAAGCAAAGGGCTCTGTGATGTTACCATCAAGGTACAGCCTCAGCGGGGATGGAGAGATTAGGCGGCCATGTCTACATCCACCCCCCCAAGCTTCCTGTTCTGTGGAATTTGCCTTCCAGCCTGAGGGACAAAGGGAGCCGCTCCTGGAGAGGAGGGGAGCGAGGCTCGGGTGTCCCAGCAGTGAGGGCACGCGGTGAGGCTGCCTATCCACCCAGCAGCCCTGGCCGGGGCGCCCTCTGTCTCCCCATCAGCACACTCAGGGCAGGGCATGCAGCCTCGGCCCTCAGCAGGGCTCCAAGCCAATGTGTCTGGGCCTCTGCCCTGCAGTTTTCCTTCCTGAAGAGGAAGAGGTGTGACGTTGATGTGCTGTTCTCCTGCGTTCCTGACGTAATGAAGTAGCTGGGGCTAAATAATCTGAAACTCCTGGTCCACTGATGGTAACTTCTCTCTTTTTTTAACTACACTTTCTAAATCGCTCAAAGGACCAAATTATGTTTTATGGCCTTTTATAAAATATTCATTCCCTCCTCCCCAGCACTCTCAGTCAGTGCTTCCGGAAGCCAGCAAATAGTCTGATGTAAGGACGAGCTCATTTCCTCCCAGACACTGTGACAGAAGCCAGGCTGCTGACAGCAGAGGGGCATGGACGCCAGGCAGGCTGAGGGAGGACCCCGGCACCCACTGCTCCCGGACACCTGCTTGCAGGACTCCTGGAGATTGATGTCCTCCTCTGGGGGCGCTTACCTTCTGCCTGCTTCTTCTCATACACAAAGCCCTTGCCCAGGGACCCTTCCATGCTGCCTTCTCCTCCATGTCCTCTTCTCTGATGCTTCTCAGTCTGGGTCCAGGGCAACAGTGAGCCAGCTGCAATCTGGAGGAAGGGAGACCCATGTGGAGGGTGGGTGCAGCTGCAGGGACCAGGCCACGTGGGTCTGGAGAGGAGGGAAGTTCCGACCTTCTCCCGCCCTCCCAGTGACCAAGGTCACAATCAGCAGCACAAACAGCCACCTTCCTCGTGGAGGTATTTGACAGTTTGCAAGATGTTTGTACCCTGAGCCTCAGACACAAAGGCTGGAATCTGAAGCCTGACTTCCAGGCCCGGTGTGGTCTCTGAGTGGCCTGTATGGCTCTATTTCCCTTGGCCTGGGTTTTCTTTCCTACACTGTGAGGACCCAGGATGAGAGGAGAGGTGAGGTACGAGTCACTCGCCTGGAGCTGCAGCCCTCGGCTGGCTGCTGCCCCTCACTGTAGGCCTGAGGCCATCTCAGAGGTCTCTGGACATCTGCCCGCTGACCGCTGACTGCATCTCTGTAAAGAGAACAGCAGTGGCGACACCCTGAGAACAGCAGTCACCCAGTCCCTGACAGCGGCTGTTGTCACCCACTGGGTCCTCCCTGCAGTGAGGAGGGGCTTCCTGCACTGTTGTGCCCAGGCCTGGCTCTCGGGAGGACTCAGAAAGGCCTTGAGCTTCCCCCACATTCTCCATGGCGTGCAGGCAGACGCAGGCTGCCCACCCCGGCCACTTCCCCTCCCTCCCTCAACTGCAAAGCATTCCCGCACTGTTCTATATTGGGAAGTGCCATTTCTGAGATAAGATGAAGGATAGCACAAGCTGAAGGCTCTCATATTGACAGCCAAAATATGGAGAGGTGAAAATTGCAGGAGAGACATTTCCAACCGATTCGTGATGTGAAAATCTCGAACTATTCTGTGTCTCCTACTTACTACCAGAACCCATAAATCAGAAAAGCCCCAGTCAGGCAATGCAGGCAATTATATTCTTATCCTAGCATAGGCAGGAATCTCTGAGTCCTGAGCTCCCAAGCTTTATTACCTGCAAAATACAGAGCGTTCCCAGGCCTCTCTGGGGGGACGAGAGCAGTGTTCGTGTATGGGGGAGGCTCCTGGAGAGGCCCACCTCCTTTTTCTTCCCTCCTCTGTCTTTTATCCATACACACTGGAGAGCTGACACCAGCTCAGATACATTTGGAGTGTTCGTGTACTGTAAAGTGCTGGGAATAGAGTGGGGGGAAGCAGACCTCCCCTCGACACCAAGGATGCACTATATAGTCTTATGTATTCATATGTGTGTGTATATATACGAATGTGTATATATATGTAGCCATATGTGCATACATATGAAGCTTGGGGAGCTTAGAGCTATGCTAGGATGTCTATGCTGGGATAATAGAAAATGCCTCGTTCATTGATTGATACTTTCTGATTAATAAGTTCTGGGAATAAATGGGAAACATAGAGCACTTTGAGATTTTTAGATAACATAAAATAATGTTTCCCTGAAAATAAGACATAACCAAAAAATAAGCCCTACCAGGTTGTTACCATGGTGATGGCCAGTGTCACGCAGAAGATTGTACCTCACTGTTGTCTTGCTCAGTGGCGGCTCTGCAAGGCAGAAGAGGTAAGAGTATGCTGATTGGGGCTGGCACCTTTGGTCTCATTCTCAAGCCTGATTATTTTCTAGTTTGGTCTTATTTTGGAGAAAACACAATATCCACACACATGCATTCACACACAGTACACTTACATACACACGCATACACCTATACTAGATACACCACACCCCGTATGCAGCATATACCCGAGCGTACACACACAGTATGGAGGAGAGACTCACCAGCAGTGCCCACTGTCCCAGGGCGGCTCAGCCACTCCAGTCCTCCCAGCTGAGGCCCCGGGCACACGGAGTGGCGCAGAACCTCCCCACACCACTTGTCTGGATCCCCAGATCACAGGATGGAAAGCAACTGCAGCAACGACCTGGGGCTGCCACCACAAGGCACTGTGCAGCTGGCTGTGCAGCAGTGGAGCCCAGAACCTCAGAGAAGCCACAGCTTGCAGAAAGTTGGCCAGCAGACCCAGCTGGAGTGGAGATCCACCCATCAAGCAGCTAGGAGGAGCTGCCCCCGCCCGAGTTCAGCCTCTGCACCTGCTGTCCTGGGCACAGGGCTAACCCTCCTCAGCTCCTCTTCTGCACACACATGCACACACACAGGCACACGCATGTGCTCAGACATACCTGGGCCTCATGTCACTGTTTCCTCTCCAGTGCATAGTCTGACACGGAAAGATGCTCCACAGCTTCCATGCAGGGAGGAGGCGTGCACTACGCTGCTCCAAGCCAACTGCCCTCCTGATGCCAGTCTGCTGTGCTCAGCAGCTCACAGAAACTGGACATAAGGTTCCAACCTGAATTCCATTCCCATGGGAAAATTCCAAAACCCCCTTATCCTACTCCTCTGGAAGGGGCCCTGCTGTGGGAAAGTGTCTGCATTCCCACATTCCCACAGATAGTTTCTCCCTCCGTAGTCAAAAACAGGGTGCTCATGAACAGCAAAGCAGGGTGAAGTGGGGGACTTGCCCTGATGCTGTCTGGATTCTGCAATGGGGATTCCTGATTTTGTTGGCTCAGGAACTGACAGAGGATGGGGCAAAGGCACAAGCCAGGCACAGAAAAGAGAGGTGGCAATTTGTGATGCATCCTTAGATCAATTCCACTTCTCATAGCTGCTTGGGGAAATGTCAAACCACTGGACCATCCTGGGCTCCCTGAAAGCATGGAGTGAGAAAAGGTCCATGTGCCCCAAATCGTGCAGGGGACCATTGAGAGGACTGTTGAGTCACTTACAAAGTTTTAGAACTGTAAATCCACGTTTGACATCTCCCTGCTTCACAGGCTCCAGTAGCTTCCCATCCTACTAAGCACCGACCACAAACTCCCAAGTGTGGACCATGGCTCCTGCACCATCCTCCAGTGCCTGCTCCCAGGCCTCCTGCTGACCTCCTTCTGCTCTTGAGACCTTGCAGTTCCTGGACACTGAGAGCTCTCTGCAGCCACATGGGTTTCTTTAGCCTGTCTCCTTCTCCCCCCAGTGCACAATTGTACATGGCCTAGCCAGGGGCACACATTCTGAGAAACACATCCTTGCATGATTTGGTCGCTGTACAAACATTACTGGGTACACTTTAACATAGATAGCATAGCCTCCCGCACACCAAGACTAGATGGTGTGTGTGTGTGTGTGTGTGTGTGTGTGTGTGTGTGTAGCCTCTCACTCCTAGGACCATGATGAACATAATGAGACTGAATCTAGCAGAAAGAGAGAAGGATGCTATTGGGCAACGCTAAACATGAGATATCTTAGCCTGCTGCCTGAGTAATGGGGCCAACAGTTTTACAGTACAGATTTTTTATAAATAGAAGGAGCTCTGAAATAATGGTTAAAAAGTGTAATGTAGTAAATACATAAATCAGCAGCAAATTGTCAAACATCATGCACAGCACAATTACAGCACTAGACGTCTGTACCATCAGCAGCTCCATGGCTAGTTTGTTTATACCAGCTCCACCACAAACTCGTGGGTTAACTGTGCCACAATATAAAGATGGTGTTGTGAGCAAGAGGCATTTTCCAGCTCCATTATAATCTTAGGGGACCACTGTCATATATACAGTTTGTCATTGTCTGAAATCTCTTCATGTGTCATGTGACTGAGCATGCACACTCACTTCTTTCTTGTCTTCGCTTAAATCATCTCTTTGGAGAGATCCTCTTTGAACACTCTAAGTAGGGAACCCTGCCTATGGTTTCCTGTATCATCTTCTTCATAGCAATTATCACTACCTGACATAACATGTACAGTAAACCTTGGTTTGTGAGCATAGTCTGTTCCAGAAACAAGCATATAATCCAAAGCACTTGTGTATCAAGGCAGATTTCTCCATAAGAAATAAGAGAAACTCAGATGACTCATTTCACAACCCAAAAATTGTCATATAAAAATTATTATAATACTGTAATATAATACAAAATAGTAAAGGAAATACAAAATATAAAAAGAAATATACAAATTAGCTCACGCTTACCTTTGAAAACTTTTGTGGCTGTAGTGAGGGAGAGAAGAGAGAGGAGAGCTATCGTGCAGGATGACTTGCACTATCACTAATGGAATCACTGCTGTCTATCAGCTCAATGCAGTCTTCTTTTCGTGCAACTTAGACAAGGAATCTATCCAATGAAACTTGCTTTTGCCCCCTTTTGCATTGTTGTTAAACAGATTTGTTGCTTGCTCTGCTGCAGCCTTATTTGGGTGGTGCTTTTCTACAAAATTTTACATTGTTTCCCACATTTTACACATCTCCCTAATCTCATTTGAAATGAGAGATTTCTCTGCCTTTTTTCTTCCTCCTCTGCGGACAAGATCTCCTCCATAATCTCTTGCTGTTGGGAGATGATCACTCACAATCCTACAGAGAGAGAGAGAGAGAGAGAGAGAGAGAGAGAGGGAGAAACTTTGGCTCAGTTGTGATCATGTGACATTCAGTGTCATGTACTACTCTTATCCCAGGACATCGCTCCCTTACCAAGTTAAAATTTATTAGAACTCCTTGCTCATCTTGTGGAACGTGCACAGAACAATTAAATCCAAGGTGTTATTGTCTTTGCTGAGATATAACTCACATATCATACAACTCACCAAAATGTGCAATTCAGTGGTTTTTAGTATGGCACACAGATGGGCCATCACCCACAAATAGTTTTAAAACACATTCATCACTTCCAAAAGAAACCCCTTTGACAATCACTTTCGCAAAGCGCCTCCCATTTCCCACAAGCCCTAAGCAACTACTACTTTTTGTCCCTGTGTGTTTGCCTCTTCTGGGTGTTTCCTGTAAGTGGAATCACACAACATGCATCTTCTGTGATGGATTGCTCTCAGGGTTCATCTGCACTGTACCACAAATCTATGCACCTCTCCTTCCGTGGCCACATAACACTGCATTATAGGGTGCAGCACCCTCTGTTCATCCATTCAGTCTATTAATGGAAAATTGGATCATTTCTGCCTTTTAGATATTATGAATAATGCTGCTAGCATCATTCCATAGGGCATTCATGCACACATTTTTGTGCGGACATACTCTCATTTTCCATAAGTATATCCCTAGGGGTAGAATTGCTGGGTCATGCGGTGACCTTGTGTTCAGTTTCTGAGCAACTGCCAACCTGATTGTCAAAGTGTCTTCACCATTTTATGTTCCCCTAGCAGCATATGGGGGTTCTAATTTCTCCTCATCTTCATTAACCACTGTTATTTTCCATTTTAAAAATTATTGTCATCCTCGTATGAAGTGGTATCTCATTGTGGTTTTGATTTGCATTCCCTGGTGGTTAATAATGTTGAGCATCTTTTCATATGCTTATTAGCCATTTGTAGATCTTCTTTTGAGAAATGTCTATTCAGATCTTTTGTCCATTTAAAAGAGTTATGTATATATTCTACACATGAGTCCCTAATGAGATATATCATTTGCAGTATTTTTCTCATTTTATGTGTTGTCTTTTTCTAAATTAGTGGGCTGCTTTATAGCAGGTTTAGGTTTACAGAAAAATGGTGAGTGGTCTCTTCACTGTCTTGATAAACATTTGAAGCACACATGCTTTTAATTTGACAGAGTAAAGTTTATCTATTTTTCTCTGTTTGTGCTTGTGCTTCTGGTGTCAAAGCTAAGTATACATCATCAAATTCAAGGTCCCAAAGATTATGCCTATGTTTTCATCTAAGAATTTTAGAGTTGCTCTTACATTTAGGTTTTTAATCCATTTTGAGTTACATTCTGTATATGGTGTGAAGAACACACACGTATGGATTTCAGGTGTCCCAGAATATATATTTATTTTTTAAAACATCTCTTTTTCTGCTTAGGCCACAGTAGAGGGATTCTCTTCTGTTTTTTTCACTGATATGCCTGTCCCCAGTATGTAAAATTGTCTGGCACATAGAGAGGATTCAATATATGTTGAATAAGTCAGTGGTAATTAACTCAATAAATGTTATTTATTATTGGTGGTGGTGGTGTTGTTTTCACATTTCACCCCTATGGCCTTCAGCCCCTGTACTTTGAAATGCCTAGAGCTGAACAGTCCCTCAAATGCTCTCTACCTTCACTCTTCTTCCTAGAATCTGGTTCCTCCTTACCTTCCACAAGGTGATGTCGAGTTTGCCTTCAAGTTCCCTGCAGAGAATATTAAGCTTTTAGCATTATCTCTATTTTAAAAATGAGACCTGACTCCTGAGAGACTTACTTGAGCTGCCTACAGGTGCCACAACTTGTTAGCAGTAGTACCATGATGAGGGTCCAGCTCTCCTGACTCCTGTTGGGAGAAACTCTCATGAACAAAGTCTTCAGATTTTGATTAACACTGGGAAAACTGTTATTATCTCTGGATGCCTGCTGTTATGGCTTGTGTCTAGATGTCCCTCCAAAGCCTCATGCAGTCGTAGGTGAGGCTTTTCAGAGGTGGCTGGATCTAGAGTATGTGATGGTGGGATTAAGGGTGTGTGATGCTGGGATCAAAGGTGTATGATTACTAAATTAGTTCACTGATTGGTTTGGCATAGTTCTGGGAGTAGATAATAGAAAGGCCGACCCTGGGACAGAAAAAGGGTCATTGCTGGTTGCTTCCTGCTTGCTGCCTTGCTCCCTTCTGCCTGCCATAAACTGTTTCTTCTCTATGATGTCCCTCTGCCATGCCACCCTGCCTTGGAGTCAGCCAACTATGAACTGAAACCTCTGCAAATTGTGAGCCAAATAAACTTTTCTTCCTTTAATTTTGGGTGTTGGATATTTTGTCTCAGCATCAAGAAAAGGAACTATGACACTTGCCCAAATTTCCAGTCCTCTCCTCACCAAACTAAGCTGTTTGGTTTTTACACAATATCAGTTAACTTTTTATTGTTATTGTGATATTCCAGGCATCATACTACTTTATGCACATTATTCTTCTAATCCTTACTGATTTCTGAGGCCAAGAGAGGCTACTGAACTTCCCCTCAAGCTCACTAAGCTAGTATATAATGGAACGGAAATTCAAGCCCAGGGTTTGGACAACCACACATTACAGCTTCTTCTTAAAAGGAGATCTCTGCTATGAGTTCTTTTTCTACAAGGAAAAGCAAAAGTAGTCAAAAGGAGGCACAGCCATGGG